GAGCAGTGGAGAAGCCGCTGTAGTGGCTTTGGCAGTCTCGGCTCTGGTCAACGCTCAACTCATCTGCCTCACTCAGGTTATTTTACTTTTTTTATTACAAATATGAAATTATTACTTTGTTTTCTTTTAGTTATATTCTTTACATTTTTGTATAAAAATTAAAATAAAGTATAAAAATATGGGTTTTTTTTTATTTATTAAAATATTTTATTTTAAAACCATCCACAAGTTTGCTATGGAGTCATCGGATAGCACGACTTTTATGGAGTCGTCCACACGTATTCACAAATATCGTATTGATATGTGTCGTGCAATAAATACACTTTGAACATGTGTCAATTCATTGACTGATGGATAGTTTCACAAGAAAATCATCTGATGGCTCTATATAGAACTTTTGTAACAACATTATATTTTTATTTATCTTTGGTCAGTGTACCTGTGCAACATGTTCTACACAAAAAATTATGTTTATTTATTTACCAAAAATTGGAAAATGACAGTATATAATTTGAATTTTCAAACTAAAATAGCTTTTGTAAAAGAATAGGAAAACAAATCAGTCAAAATAAATATTAAATTTAATTAATTTAAAAATATCTTTACTTAACAAAAAACATTAAATTATTTTTCCAAAACCCTGAAATTATATATAGAACTTACAAATTGAACCTTAGGAGCTGATGCTACTAACCAACCAACCCAAGTCAAGAGGGGACCAACAAGCTCCTTCTCATACTTCCAAGCCAGTGGATGCCGAGACAAACAATGATGATGACGACGACGACGATGATGATGGTGATGATGTCAGCCCTACTGAAGGGAACAAGAGTGATACCAAAAATGGGCTTGGTGAGGAAAACGGTGAACCTGAGGATGACGAACAAGAGGAGCCGAACGAGGATGAAGATGATGACGATAATGATGATGATGAAGATGATGATGTCAATGATGACGATGAAGATGATGATGATGATGACGACGATGACGACGACGATGATGGTGGGGAAGATGAGGATGATGATGACGAGGAGGAAGAGGATGAGGAAGAAGAAGCCATTCAACCTCCCAAGAAAAGGAAGAAGTGAAAACTAACTGAGGAGTATTTCGATGAATAATTGCGCTAATGCCTTGGACGCACGAGGTTTTCTAGGATTTTTATTCGAGGTTACTTTTTGTGTTTTAAGTTGTTCCTTTAATGAATGAATGTTGTAGAACTCACAATTTGCTTTTCTGTAGTGTTGAGAGATGCTAAAATTTCTATCAGGTTTGGATTTTGTTGTGCCAACAAATCATAAAACTGTGCCGTGCTAGTATGAAATATGAATAGTATTTGTTCAATAGTAGTCTAATCCCCAAGTGAATAGTGTTTAAATTTCAAATGCCCATTTATGAGTGAATTGGTAGAAAGCATCATAGTTTTTTTAACTCGGACTGGCTTGATGGGTTGACCTGGGATTCAGTCGAGCCAAAACCTGTTCGAGTGGACTATTTTGATCGGATAACAATGGATTCAGTCAAAAATTGGTCAACCCAACCTTGACCCAATCGCAAGGTATTGACCCTCCGGTCTACTTGGTTGACTCAAACTATATATATTGATGGGATTGGCGATGCTAGTCTTTGTCGCGACTTATTGCGACCTTTGTGGCTCAGCTGACTCCTTAACTTCAATATATATTTATATGGAAAATATTTATTATGAGATAAAATATGATTAACACTTTGATTTTGTTACAATAACTTATATACAAAACATTTAATTTTGTTACTATTATTGCATTTATTTATATGACAAAATACTACATATAACTTAAAAAATTTTAAAGTTAATTATATAGTTCAACAATTGACTCGATAACCCGACAGTTAAACCACCCACAGACCCAGAGAACTATCCTGGTCAATTCCAGGTTTAAAAACTATGAAAAGTCACAGTTAGTGGTCACAATCGGATGATTCCCTTATGGAGCCATCCATCACTTTATTTATTTGCATATATTCAATGTGTATTTATTATTAAACACGTGTCGATACATCATTTGTTAATAATTATGGATGATTTCATAACAAAACTGGCACTTTTAAAGGACAGAAAAATTAAAATTAAATGAGTAATATGCAAACTACACGTTAATCCTAGAAAAATTAGTGTTGCTTGCTTCAAAACGCATTGGACTTGTATCAGCAATCAATGCACCTCTATCATTGACAATGGAAACAAATATACAATGTCCTACACACAACTTTAGTACTCTCGACTATTAAAATTTGATAGTGTGAGGTTTATGATGTTATCAGCAGAAGCCTATTATTAACTCAATCACAGGCAAATAACGCCTTAATCCAGTTCAAGAAGCAATTCATTAATACACCGTAGTACCACGGACCGACACCAGCAACATGTGTACGGAAGGTGGCTGCAGAAACCCGTTTCGGTTAGAAAATCCAATTCTCGAATTCTATTTTCTATTGAGATATGACAATTAGCTCACATGTAATAAAGCATAAAAATTTAATGTATGTTCAATATAAACAACCCTGAGTCTTACTTTGTGGGGAACTGATGATTGCCTGATATTCTCTCCATCATCCTAAAAGCGACTGGCAGTTCAGGCACGAGATAACTCCGGAGAAATTCAAACATTCAAACTGGAGATTTACTCTCAGATTTGATTGAGCAAACAAAGAAATGGAGATATAATTTTTTAAAAAAATAAAGAAAAAGAAAATATCTTCGAACATCAAGCTTATACTATTCTTCGAACACCAAGCTGAGATTGCCCCAAGATCAACAGCCAATATTATTGCATAAATCAAAGAAAAAATTGTCCAAAATATAAAGCACAACAAACGGGCAAACTTGCCAACACCTCAACCAAAATTTGAAGGAGTTGAGAAACAAGAAACCAGAAGTACGAAATTGTGAACAATGAATAATAAAGACACACGGAGAACCATCCCATATGTAGGTTCTTCAAATCCATATATATATATATATATATATATATATATATATGAAAATAAATAAAGAAACATGTGAAGAAACTCATCCAATATCAACAGAAAAAGGATTATAAGACAAAGAAGTGAACTCCACCTGGATTTGAAGTACCATCAATAGGTGAAAATTCTATAGCAAACAAAACAACAAGATGCAGAAACACCAGAACAAAAACTGGACTAAAAATCAATAATAAGAGAATTGAGAAGTATCCTTCTAATGAATAAAGAAACCGCAAAATGCAAATCAAATTGAATAAATAATATAAATACATTATTATTACTTGCTTCAACCTGAAATGACACTAGATAAGGTGAATACAACGGCCGTCAAAATAAGGAAATAGCAGAGATGCTAACAAAAAAAGCTACCAGAAGCTTTACTGACTTTGCAAACCTTAGATATGCCCAAGTCTCGCAGTGCTTCAACAGTTTCAAGTTTATCAAAAGCTTGTAAATGGCTCAAAAATGTTGGCTATATGCATCATACAATATAATAATTTTCTCAGAGAATTTTTCATTTAAAATAAATAGAAAACACCACTAAATACATTAAAAGTACTAAATGCAAGTATCAAGCAGCCAATGCGGCATCAATTAGAGTGGAAACCAAGAATCTTAAAAGTGAATACAAACACGCACACATATTGAAAGGCCCTGAAAGCACAAATGCCATCAGTAATGGTAGCACAACTTCATCAAAATAGCCACCTAGGCCAAAACCTCAAAATGAGACAGTACACGCCATTAAAAATATAGAAATTTAAAATTCTGTGCCGTCAGTCACAAAATGTAACAAACTAGACCAGAAACTCAAAATGAGACAGTACATGCCATTAAAAAATATAGAAACTTACAATTCTATGCCGTCAGTCACACAAGATAACAAACTAGACTGTAGACAAATATATAAACAAAAAATCTGGAAACACAGAAAATAACATGATCGAAACCATAAATCGCATAACATTTCAATGCAAAAAATTATAAAGTTATTCGCACAACATCATGAAAGAAATAGACAGGAGAAAAATTAAAAATTAAAGTTGAAACAGAGTAAAACAAGGAAAATGACTACATAGCTATCATCAAATCAAAATCAAACTTAAACAATGAATAATGAGAGAACAAACTATGAAGTGAAATATAAATATTAAAGATATCCATAGAAAAATGTCATTAAAGTTATAGTCATAAGATGAAATGTCCACGACATGTTCTTTGACGGTTGGCCAAATAACAAAACAAATAAAAAGAAAGCCTAAGAGAAAGAAAACAAAGCAAAAGGAATAACAGTAAAGTGATATTTTCAACCAAGCCTTTTAAGAAATTTCACCATTCTCAATGTTGTTCATCCATCTCTTTTTTCAGCCTCTGCAAGAATAACTGAAAATGGTCAAAGGCCTTACAGTAATAACATCTAACACCAATTCAAAGATATAATATTTTAATAACGAAATACAAATTTACTATAACTAAATTGACTAGTGCTGAAATAAAACATATAAGCTTGGCGATGTTCCAAGTAATCCGGTTAACAACTTTTCTGATCAAACACTGGCCGAACAATCAGGACAGCCAATTCCACATGAAACCTAAAGCAAAAACTCATCCGTTTATAGAAAACCTCCACTTACCACCATACCTAATACAATTACTTTTCACCATCTATATACTGCAACCAAAACAATGACTTCACATCTTCAACTATGAGCTCACGTTCTGCAATATGCTTTTCCTATTCATCCAAATAACTTCGTAGATCCTCTTAAGTACATTGACTTTGTTATCATATATACAGGTTTTTTGTTGGATATGTTTCCATCATGCATGCTTCATCACAACAAACAAAAAATAGTGATGCAATGAAGCCATAAAACCCTCTTCCAAATAGAGTTACCAATTTAGTAGACAGACAATCAAACAACAAATGCAAACAGCATACATATTTGACACAAAAACTGCACATGTTTGTAAGAACCATATGTAAACGACAGTCACACAAACACGCAAACATCTTCTTTGTAAGATATAAAGCAAGAACAACAATCATACCATATAGGCGAATAACCTTCATTAGTCTTGGGTGCCTTAGCCAAGTATGAAGAGGTCTGCCCACCCATCCCACTGGGGTACAAATACTGCATATTTTGAAGCAACGCCCCACTCGACCCGCCTTCTGCACCAGCCGAAACACCATAAGAACCCGGAACGCCATATGAACCCAAGCCCAAGCCCTGAACCTGACCGCCCATAATCCCATAATACCCTCCCATTAATCCACCCATGTTCGGGCTTGAAATCATCCCGCCACCATATGGGTTCACGAGCCCCATCTGTTGTCCCAAAAAGGGCATCGTTTGGGCCTGAGCCTGCTGTGCTGCTGCCACTGCAGCCAGCATCTGCGGCTGCACTGGCTGCAGAGCTGTCGTAATCGAGGCGGCACCCCCAGCCACTTTGCCTTTCCCCTCGGCGGCCTTCCGGCACTCTAGCTGGCACCCATCAAACACCTTGAGGGGATCCTCCAGAACTTTCTTGGCCCCCTCCACAGTCTTGTACACAAAGATGGCGTAGCCCTTAAATCTACCTGTCGTTGGGTCGAAACCCTTGGGCCCGTTCTCAATCTCTCCAAACTGCTCAAAGAAAGCCCTCAGCCGGTCAGCGTTTGTGTTTGGGGGCACATTATTCACGTATATTTTGCGCTGCGGATAATCAGAGGAGGGGAAATGCTGCTGAGACACAACCCCAGGAGCAGCGGGACCCTCAGCCGCCAGCTGGCAGGAGGTCACGCGGTTCCCTACCTGAACCTTGGGATTTTTTAGCAATTTTCTGGCGGATTTTCGGGTCCTGAAGGTGATGAAGGCGTAGCCCTTGCACTTCCCGGTGGCCCGATCGTTCACGACGTTGAGTTCCTCGATGTCGCCGTAAGGGCCGAAAACGGACATCACGAGGTCGCGCGTGGCGTCCCAGCCGAGGCCGTGGATGAAGATTTTGCGGTGGGAGACGTCCTCATCGGCGGCGGATTTGATGAGGGAGAAAAGGGAGGCGCTGGAGAGGGAGAGGTCGGTGACGAGGGTGACAAGCTGGTCCTTGGAAAAGGGTTCGAGGAGGGTTTGGATCTGGGTCTGCGGGTCGGATTCGGAGTCGGAGAAAGGGGATCCGGGTTTGGGGAGCTTGGCCTTCTTCTTCTTCACCTTCTTCTTCGTGGGTTTCTTCTCGACTTTGGGCGGTGAATTGGCGGCGTATTTTTTGACGAGGCGTCGCTTTCTAGGTCTGGTTTTCGCCATGGATACCACAGTGTGGTAGGGTTTGGAAAAGATGAGATAACTGATAAACTAGGGGAAAAATCAATGGACACGAACTTCAGATTTTATGTTTTTATAAGGTAAAGTGGTCAAATAAGATTTCCCACCGTCACGTCTGAGTGGTGTAGTCGTCCGTTATCGCGCTAGTCTCACACACCGGACGGGCTTCAATACTCATTAGGTTTTTTCTTTTTTTAATTATTATTATTTTTTTATAATGACAACTTACAAAGATGTTTAAACTCAAATGAACGATTACAACCAAGTAACCAACTAACCAAATAATAACAAAGAAAACCATCTCCAACAACAAAAAAGGAACTACTACGTGGGGGAGATAACGACTTAGACCGAGTTGTGTTCTATGAGAAATGTTGTCGACGTACATTTTTGAATCTATTAAAAATAAATTCTAACACAGTTGAATTTATAGTTAGATTATGATTTACGTAAACTTTTTGCCGACTATGAGACGTTTCTGATTTTCGTTATTAGAGATTGTTTGAACCTCACAATCCGTTGGGTTGTTGAACTAGATCTCGTCATCGCGTCTCCGGTTGCTCGTCGCACTATCTCGGGCCTCCGATTGGTTAGTCGGATGGTTAGGACTCGTCGTGGGCTCGCCGAGACTCCTGGACAGGTCTAGACCGAGTTTGGATATAGCTGGACAGGGCTGGGCTGGTATTGCTCAAATCAAACTTGGACACTAAGGTACTTATAAAAGGGCCTAAGGTAGCCCAAAAAATACATTTTCTCTACATTCACAATTATACTCTCATATTGCACTCTTTCTCTGGCAAGTGTTGACTTAGGTATCGGAGGCTCGACACCCGGGTTGAGTTCATGCAGGTACGGAGGTCGTCCGAGTTGAAAGAGCCCGGGTAAAGTGCAAAATACAGAACATTGTGATCGAAAAACAGCAGACGTGAGTTCAAATTTTCAAATTCAAGACTTTGGGGAGAGGTCGAGAAAATCTATCAATGTATAATGAAAGTCTATATAAGCATGTCAAGACATATCAAAGGAAGGTCAGCATTACAAAGTGAGGAGCAAAGGAATCTACTATAGGAATAAAGGTTCGACCTGAATGTGGCGTCAGGTCATTCGGTTTTCGACCTCAGTGACGACCTGAATGTGGCGTCAGGTCATTCGGTTTTCGACCTCAGTGACAGGTCATTCGGTTTTTTACCTCAGTGAAAGGTCATTCGATTTTCTCACTCATGGGTCATTTGGTTTTTGACGTTGTTGGTAGGTTTTTCGATTTTGGACTTCTACATCACTCGATTCTCGACCTCAGTGGCAAGTGTAAGAAAATTTGACTTTGTACCGTTTTACGGTTCTATTTTTTGTAAGTGGAAGACTTATAAAATTCTCAAAACTATTTTAAGGTGAATGAGAAATTAATTATAAGTTGTATATATGGAAAACATACTATTGGCCGACACTCAGGCGGGACGCCGCCCACTGGGTGAGGAAGTGCAACAAATGTCAGATATTCACGCCGAACATGAACCTTGTGCCAGAACCTCTCAAATCGATTGTGAGCCCTAGGCCGTTCGCCAAATGGGGGATCGATCGGATAGGACCATTGCCGACCGGAAAGGGAGGAGTGAAGGTTGCCGTTGTGGCAGTAGACTACTTCACTAAATGTGCGGAAGCAGAACCGAGCAGAAAATGATTGACTTCCTCTGGAAATCGGTAATATGCCATTTCGGCGTGCCCAATTCAATCGTCATCGACAACGAGAGGCAGTTCAAAGGAAAAAATTGGAAGAATTATGTGCACCTTACGGCATCAAACACTATTTCTCGACTCCGTATCATCCCCAGTCGAATGGCCAAGTTGAAGCGGTGAATAAGTTGATTAAGAACGGTCTCAAAATACGACTTGAGGAAGCGAAAGGGGCCAGACCAGAGGAGTTGCCAGGTGTCCTGTGGGCGTATCATACATCCCCGAGGTCGTCGATCGGAGAAACCCCTTTTTCTTTGGCATATGGATCGGAAGCCATGGTCCCCGTGGAACTCCGCTCACCGACCTATTGAGTAGAAAATTTTACAAAATATCAAAACGACGATAACTTACGTATGAACCTCGACTTGGTTGAAGAGTTACGAACGCAAGCCGAGCTCCAAAACACGGCCTACAAACAGAGAAGCGAGTGATATGTCAACTCTAAGCTCAAACCCAAAATCTACCGAGTTGGCGACTTGGTCCTAAAAAGAGTGACAGGACCCAATCCCGGTCCCCTAAAACCGAAGTGGGAAGGACCCTTCAAAATAAGTCAAGTGCTGCCCCATGGGGCCTACCGGCTGGATGATCTGGACAGCACACCCCAGCGATACCCATGGAATGCAGTATACCTCAAAAAGTACTACCAATGACACCAAGTCGGCCTTCGCGCCACTAGTCGGTCTCCGCACGGACGTTCTGGAAAAACCGGCCTTCGCACCACTAGTTGGTCACCGCACCGACGTTTTGCAAAAATCGGCCTTCGCGCCACTAGTCAGTCTTCGCGCCGACGTTCTGCAAAAACTGGCCTTCGCGCCACTAGTCGGTCACCGCACCGACGTTCTGCAAAACTGGCCTTCGCGCCACTAGTCGGTCACCGCACCGACGTTCTGTAAAAACCGACCTTCGCGCCACTAGTCGGTCTTCGCGCCGAAGTTCTGCAAAAACCGGCCTTCGCGCCAATAGTCGGTCTCCGCGCTGACGTTCTGCAAAAACCGGCCTTCGCGCCACTAGTCGGTCTCCGCACCGACGTTCTGCAAAAAAGGCCTTCGCGCCACTAGTCGGTCTCCGCGCCGATGTTCTGCAAAAACTAGCCTTAGCGCCAGTAGTCGGTCTCCATACCGACGTTCTGAAAAAAATGGCCTTCGCGCCACAAGTCGGTCTTCAGGCCGACGTTCTGCAAAAATCGGCCGTTGCGCCACGAGTTGGACTTGTTAAAGGAGCCTCCCCGTGCGAAATTGCAAATTTCAAAAGGCTCAAGTAGCGGAAAATTTATCATGTAAGGCAAAAACCCTCGCATAGTTTTTTTTCAACAAGTTTTTTGTACTCGAGAAAGTCTTTGTAAAGTGAAAAATCTCCTCTGAAAAACTTCCCTTGTGAATGACAGTAATTTTTTACGAAGTGTTGTGTTCTTGAAATATCTTTCTTGCTTTACGAAAAATGTTTAAACGTGTCGTGTTCAATAGTTGATGTTGAACGAAACGACTGTCTAGTTTACTTATCCAAACTGGAGAGGTCGGAACGTGCTTATGTTTTACGACTGAAATCCTCTTCAAAGACTCAAAGGTATAATTTAAGAATGCTTTGTCAATAAAGAAAAATTGAAAGCGAAAATTTGAAAAGCATAACTTCATTGACTGAAAACCCGGGGGAGAATCCTTACAATGTCACCGATAAAATAAAAACATAAGGACGCGTCAACTCAATGATCCCCGTCCGGAAAGAAACAAACCACAAACCAAAGCAAGCGCGCAAGCATAATGATCCGCGCAAAACGAAAACAAACAAACGGGAAAACAAAAGAAAACACGGTTAAAACTGTTCGTCAGACTTATCGGCGGCCTCCTCGGGATTCTCGAGGTCGGTATCCACCTTCTCGGCGTCTTTCATCGCCTCTCCCGGATCCTCCTCAACTTCTTATGCGGCCTCGTCGTTTGCGTCCGCAGAAGTATCCCTGACCCTCCCACTCAACTTAGCATAGATCGCGGCGTCCAAAGCTTGGGGATCGATTCGGATTTTCACAGCCTCGGGATCGGCCGATTCAGCTACGGTCACCAGCTCGGTCGCAGAAGCAGTTGCTTCGGAATTACCCTCGAGCGCGGCGGTGGTCATCCTATCGGCATACTCCACTACCTTCTTCTTAATCTCAGTCGGGGTCAAGACCCTGAAATGCTCGATGGTGATGTCGGCAAGAGTGTCGATGAACTTGAGGCCGAGCTCCTCCCTCCTTTCTTTCTCCCCTTCAAGGACTGGCCGCGCGTCGCAACGCGGCAAAATTAATATTTATATTTTCCTTAACTAACTTCTACTAACTAGTAGTAGCGGGGAACAAGGGTCGAACCCACAGAGAGTGTGATCAAATTGTGAATTTTTGTATTAATTGAATTTATAAAAAAACGATAAAAGAGGGGAATTGGATTAAAACTAAGATCCTAATTAAATAAATAAAATCTAAACAAACGAAATAAAAATAAAAATAAAATAAATAAGAGAAATTTCTAGTTCACGGTTCCGTCTACACCCTCGACTGACTCATCTAATCAACTTTGGTATCAAATCTCGCTATCTTATGAAATTATTAGCCTTAGGTAATGACACGGTCTGTTACCCGAATTTTTTCTTATTTTTAATCTAACCGCGAGACGCTCTACGATTAGACCTGACTTCTTGTACAGTCTAGAAAACGCTTCTTAGATTTAATATAATCAGCCGCTTTACGAATTAGGAAAATAGGCTACACTAAGTAGTGAACTCAACCGCGTTCGTTCACTTAAATAGGTCGTGTTATCCCGGGTAATTACCATCTTCCGGATACCTCTTGCGAATTAAACACATCAACAATTACGGATTGAAGGTCTAATTCAGGTGTAGATATATAAAGCCTAGTCTAGGTGATCAATCTAAACAAGACTAAACACATCATGGTTAATTATTCAAAATAACACAAGCAATTCCAAAAAGATATTAAAATCATCAACCAAATAAATCAATCAAACATCAGGGTTCGACATCCCCGGAACTAGAAATAAAACTAAGCTATCATAATAAATAAAAACAAAAGAAAGAGAATAGAATTATCCTCTTTCGTGTGTGGTGCGGTCTCCCTCCGCGTTTCCTCGGGCTTTCTCGCTTCTATATGTGTGCGCTTCTCTTTTCTTCTCTAATCCGTATATGTGGCGGCTCTCTCCCTTTTTCTCTTGTATGCGAAAGTCTCCCAAAATAAATGTATATATGCTGCGTATGGGCTCATGACT